TGTTCCTTTGGCTCGACCTAATCACAGCTCATCTGCAACTGATCAACCTGCATCGTGAACTCCTCTACTGATAGGTTTCTCGGCTGCAGATGGTGGAGCCTCATAAACATATCCCGGTGATAATGAGGTGGGAGGTATTTCCTCTGCATCGCTTTCTTTATCTTCTACCACTTGGTGATCTTATCACTATCTTCACTTTTCCTGTGTCTGTAAGTTCTCCCACCACAAAGAGCCTCTCTTTTTTAACTTGATGGCGGTCAACTTTTTATCCTTAGACACATACTTATATTCAAAAATTCACTCCACTAATTGTAGCCAATCGACAATATCAACCGGATTCATGCTCCATTAAACTCTGGCAAATCCACTTTGAGACCATAGTCCTTTTGTCCTCCATATGTGGGCTCCTCTCTCTTTCTCTTTTGATATTGAATTCTGAAGCGACGTGGTCAGTATTCCTCGTCGTTGTTATCTTCTCTGTAAAACGGATTCAATTCTTCATCCTTGTCTCCCCTTCGACTCTCTCAATCGGAGTCGAGGGTAATCTTCTCTGGGTCTTGTCGTCCGATTCTGACAGTCTCTGTTGCATGCAACGAATCTTTAATTGTATCTGGTCCTGAATTGGGCCAGATACGTATCTCCGTGGCGGTATGAGTAGGGTTTGGCTTGGAAGGAGTTTGGATGGTAGGAAAGTAAAGAAAGAGAAGAGAATAAAGAAGAAAAACAAGGAAAAAAAATTAGGGAAATAATTTTTCTTTTGGTGGCTTGGGTAGAGCTGATGTTAGGGAACCTTAGGATAGGGCTAGGGTTGAACTAGTTCTAATAACAAATGATACTGGAGTCCACTCAAATCACGACCAGACGACGAAATATTTTATTGTTGAATTCAAAAAGTTACAACGACGACTCTCAACATAAAATAACACCAACATGCAAACTATCAACTAACAAGGATGGCTCCTCAAATAAGACTAAACAACTCGAAATAAAACGGTAGGAAATACATAAATGACTCTCCCTTGTGAAGGGCGGCAGGTCCGACGAGAAAGGAAGGGGCGCGGTAGTGCCGGAGGAGGCCAAAATAATGTTTGGCTACTAGCAGGGTGCACAACAGTAGGTGTCGGTGGGTCTGGAGAGTGCAGAGAGCAGTGGTGGTGGAAGGTTGTTGGAAGCTGGCTGGCGATGTTGGAGTGATCAGGGACGTTTGAAGGCAACCTAGAGTGGTACTGAAAGGGAGGCGGACTACTAGAAGGGAGCAAGGAAGTTAGGAGGCAATCCTGGGAGAAGCTGGAGGTGATGCAGCATGCTGACAAGGAGAGTGGGAGTCCAACGATAATCCTGGGAGAGGCTGGAAGGGGTGCAGCCTGCTGAAAGGGAGCATGGAAGTCTGGAGGCAATCTGGGAGGGGCTTGAGGTGGTGCGACATGCTGGAAGGGAGCAGGGGAGTCTGGGGATTGCCGAAAAGTGCTGGGGGAGGTGTGGCCTGTTGGAAGGGTAGTAGGGAAGATCTTGCGGCTGTTAGAAGAGGGGTTGGTATGCGGCATAAGGGAGTTGCAAAGATAAATATTTCAGCGAGGTCGAGCTACAACCGGAGCACCACCTAGATCCTTCGAGACGGTCACCACCTTGGTCGAGTTACAGCTGGAGCATCTGCTCGCTGTCAGATACAACAATCAAAAGAGAAGAATGCTTTAAAAGCAACAACCAAAAATCAGTAATCAACTAAAACTAGTTAACCCTAGGCAAACACATCATATATATGATGGATTCTGGCACTATGATTTGGAAGGGATTGGAATTTGGAAAAGAATAGAATTGGAAGGTGGTAGATAAGATATGCAATGCAATAGGAAGGAGAACTCTTTATTGAATGAAGTGGAATAGGAAAGGAGAGCGGGAAGTGGTGGTAATTCCCGCCCCTTAGAATGTCGGCCGATCCAACACATGGCCGGTTCAGTCAGCTCTACTCTTTATTGAATGAAGTGGAATAGGAAAGGAGAGGGGGAAGTGGTGGTAATTCCCGCCCCTTAGAATGCCGGCCGATCCAACACATGGCCGGTTCAGCCAGCACCCTACACGCCTTTGTTAGTAAGTGATGAAGTCTCAAGAATATGTTGTCATATACTAGTAGATACCTACGTTGCTTCTCCCTTTTTATCTTGGACTAGATTGTGATTTAACTTTTTCCCTCTCGTTGGCGTAGGCGTTTCAAATTTTCCCACCATAGAGATGTAGTTTTCTTTAACTTGATGACGATTATCTTTACCCTCAATTCATACAGATGTCTTTCATACAGATGTCTTTGTATTCAAAGACTTGTTACACTTGTCCATATTCATGCAATAATCAATGTTCGGTAAATCTAACATCACTCCAAGGTCCTAGCTTGTACCCTGATTTTCCATACTAAATCGCCGACGTATTGCTTTTTCATCACTGAAAACTACCCGCTGGAAGGGATTGACTTCCTCCCCTCGATCTGGCGAATCACTGTTGTAGTTGTGGGTGACCTCATCGGTTTGTCTTCTCTCAAAGCTAACAAATCTTTGTTGAAGTTAGAAGGCTTTTCTTTGCATTTTATGCATAGTGAGCTCCTGACACCTCATTGAGGGTTTCTACTTGAAAATGTGATGTATGTTCTCCAATGAAAGTTTTGGGTTGGGGCTAAGTTGATGATGTGAGAATTTTTCTTTTTTTTGGGTGCGGTGGTAGGTTTGGTTGTGTGGATTCTAGGTGTAGGAAGGACAAACCCCTAAAAATTTAGGGTTTGTCAGGCTCTGATACCAATTGATGTTGTTCTAGTGCTCTTAGGAGGTGTTTTGGAGATAGAATTAGAGAGGAGTTGGTTGTGGAATAGCAAATGAATTATAATATGTGAGGTTGGCAACATTTGGAAGGGGATAAGCATCATTCAATGGCTGCCCCAGTTGAAACAATGGAGGGAACCACAAAATGATGATATACAGACGTTCAGGAGGGTCCATCAATTATTCCTGGGTAAGATACAGATGCACCAATTGCAAAAGGAAAATATATAACACTTTAAAGAGCATAAAGCAAAGAATGAACTCTCCAAAACACAAAACACTATAATAAAAGTCTCTAACACCATAAAATAATAACATAAAAATAGTCTCTCAGGTAAAAAAAAAAATCCTAATTCTAATTTAGGAATAGAAGAAATTTAGGCCTCACAAGAACCAACTTCAACAATTGGCAATAAATCCTTGTTTCGGCGCAGACGAGACGAAACCCGCTCGGTTCATGCTTATCGGGGAAACTATCATGAATCACACACGATCTGATCCCACTATCGCGGGAAACATGGGTTCCCATCCGTGTTCGGCTCTGAACGCATTGATGGCCGCAAAGAGATGAGAATAAATTTTTGTAACTCCTAAATATTTCTGCTTGGAGTTCATGTTGGCATACAATCTTAATTCAGGTTTAATATAATCCCAAAGAGATGAGAATAAATTTCTGATTTAATTTTATGTCCAACCAAATGCACCAATGTAAATGGCGCCATTGCACTGCTTCCATTCCCAATCCGACTAAAGATGCACACTAAACTAGTCCAGCCACGGATATGAAAATCACGCGAGTATAATAGAGGCTCAAAAAGTGCACTAACACACCTACTGTAATAAGTAATAACAACTTACAACTCCAACGTGGAAACAAAACTCGCAAATCTGCAGGGTTAAGGAAAATCTCATAACTTCGTGTACACTTACCTACAAGAAGGGTTAACTTGTCAAATATCCACCGCCACTGACAAGCAAACTCAATGCTGAAATCCAGTTATGACAAATTTGCACTATTCGATGAAAAACATCCAGAATAAAGCAACAACCATGGTCCCATGGAAATAAATACAGATAGCAGAAAACTCTACTCGAACTACAGTATTCACATATTTGAATAACCTACCGTAGAAGTTAACCAAGCTGACTCAAGATTAAAACCATTTAAAACCATAGGAACTAACTTAAACAGAGAATAAAATACAACTCTTTCTCACCATTATCACTTGTTGTTTCTTAGAAAAAATACAAAATAAAATGACTAAAAAAAGAAAAATAAAATTTTAATAGATAATTGCTTGGCGGCCTTTGATGAGGATAACCACCAAGATTTACATCAAAATTTACATTTCCATTTCTCTTCTTGTATTTTGGAGCAATAAGGCGGTTGGAGCGGATCTGCTCCTTGTTTTTATGCAGCAAGGCAAAATAGACTTGTCAATTGCCTTTAGTTTTGTAAGGAAACTTAATTATTTTTTGAAATTTATGCTATATTTTGATTTTAAACAGACATCCATCCTACATTTAATTTTAAGTTCTAGTCCCTAATTAAAAAAAAAAGCCTTGCTTTATTTTTCCTCGTGCAGGTTGGGCATCGGAAAATTCTGCTTGAAGCAGTCGATAAAACCTGGACCAACATTTCCCACTTAATGAAGTCTGCTGTGGCTGCTCGGAACACTTTGCTTCGAAAGCATATTATCAAGTTATCACAACGTATTGGGCTTACATGTTTGCCCCATCGCTCCATGGCATGGCGCTATAAGGTGCAGTCATCTCATCTTGAGCTCAGACTCAGTTCAGTTTCATCTTTTTGAGGAATACCTTACATTGGTATTTTGAAAATGAAGACTTTTTTCAGTAAAGTACATGATTCTTGTGCAGGCAAGCACTAGCTCACTTGGGCAAAATATTCTTCTGAATGCAACTGAAACAAGTAATCCCTGTAGCAATGGTTTACAAGTTGTCCATCTCACTGACATGTCAAGTATAGAAATCCTTGGAGAAGACGATATTGAAGTTCCAGAAATCGTAGAAGAGATAGTTGAACTACTACTCTCAGGTTTGAGAGATTCGGTACGAATAAGTGGAAAACTTCTAACATATAATCTAATTTTTCTTCTGTAGTCAGGTATGGTCAGTTCTGTTAATTTTTGAATTGACACAGATTTGGACATAGCTCCATTATAACAACGTTTTTTTTTAATTAGTCGTCAAATCCTTGAAATTTTCCTTAGTTGCTATTTGGTTCTATTTGGGAGCCCTCTTTTCATCATCTTAGCTAGCTACTTGGTCACTTCGCATCACATAAATTTGGGTTTAACTGTATTCTTTTATTCATGTAATCTTTGAAGTTATGCATGTTTGTAATGTCTCATTTGGCATTTGGTTTGATTTGGGAGCTGTTTTTCCATTGATTTTAGCTGGTTCCTTGCCAGCCTCTTAATTATTTCCATATTATTCTTCTGATTCTCATGTAGTTGAGGAAAACAATATAATCTTCATTCAGCATCTTCTGCAATTGAAGTTAACACACACACACACACACACATATCGAAATAAAATGTTGACTTCTATCAAAATATTTTTTATCATTTTCAGAATGTGCAGAAATTGGGGTATGAATTATTAAGAGTAATTTTGATTTTACCTTTTCTTGATTTTGGGTATTATAAATTGCTTTTTTTTTTGCGTTTGACAGCATTCAAGCTGGCTTATTTATTTGCGGATGAGCAGCCAAGCTAAATTAAAGTTTATTTTTTATTTTTTACTATATTGTCATTTAAAAATAACTGTATAATTGAACATCATGATTTGAAGCAATAGATTTGGGACCATGTCAAGCACTATTTCATAGAAGTAAAGGTTGATAATGTGCGGGCCATCATAATCTTGTTGAATTGAAGAACGTGCACCATTTTTGGTAAACAAACTACCACCAGTATAATAAACTATTTATGCTGTTGTGTTTGGGAGACCTACAATAAATTCCATATTTACATCCGTCCCTAGTGACTCAAGAATTAGAATGCACAACACTGTTTTTTGGCATTCTTTAGCTTCATACTTTGGCAATATGGCTGAGTCGGTATACTGTAATAATTTTGTCAAAATTTTTTAGTAAAAGAGGTAGGTAAAAGTATTCTCATATTACAACTATTGTCTTCTCTAATTGAAATGTTTTTGCTCAAAGAAATCTCTATTATTCATGAAGGACTTTGGCTTATATATGGTCTTACAAATTTCTACACAAATACAACCCTTGACATCTTCTATATTTTTTATTTACAAATAGGACCCTAAACTATATAAAATTCTCAACGCTCCCCCTCAAGATAGGCAAAAGATATTCACTATGTCCCTCTTGTCACATAACCTAGATAGATCTAATGAGCTAAGTCCCTTGGTGAAGCGGTCAGCTACTTGCTCTCTAGTAGTTACATGACTTATCTCCAGTAGTCCACTATTCAACTTCTCCTTGATGAAGAACTTATCAATCTCCACATGCTTGGTTCTATCGCGTTGCACCGAGTTGTTGACAATGCTGATTGTTGACCTGTTGTCGCACCTCAACTTCATTTGAGCTCATTGGTCCACATTAGGCTCTATCAATAGAGCTCTCAATCGTAACATTTCATCAACTCTCAAGGCCATGACCCCTGTATTCTGCCTCAGTCGTTGACCTCACAACTACCGACTGCTTGTTCTTCTAAGAGACCAAATTTCCTTCTACAAACATGTTGTGTTCTGATGTGGACCTCCTGTCATCAACACGACTAGCCTAACCAGAGTCACAGTAGCCCTCAATGCCTAAATGCTCAGTTTTTTTTAAGATCAACCCCTTCCCCGGTGAACTCATCAGGTACCTTAGAATCTGATACAGTGCATCCATGTGACCCTTCCTAGGATCATGCATATAGAGACTCGCCATGCTTACTACAAATGATGTCTGGACAGGTGTGACTCAGATAGATGAGGCGGCCTACCAACTTCTTGTACCTCTCACGATCAATAAGCTCTCCTGTCTCTGCACTCAATTTTCCCCTCTGATCAATTGTTGAAATTGCAGGTTTGCATCCTAACATGCCTGTCTGTGAGCAAGTCTAGCACATATTTCCTTTGAGATAGACAATCCCCTCTGCTTCATGAGCCACCTCAATGCCAAGAAAGTATCTAAGTTGTCCCTGGTTCTTCACCTCAAACTCTTTGCCCAGACTTGTTTTTAGCTATGTAATCTCTCCCTCATCATCACCAATGCAATCATTTCATCCACATACACAACAAGAATAATAATGTGACAACCATGTTGTTGAAGGAATACTGTGTGCCTACCATTGCTCCCCTGAACCTATCAAACCAAGCTTGAGGAGACTGTTTCAAACCGTACAATGACTTCCTTACTCTACATACCTTGCCTAATGTTTGGTTCGTGTCAAAACCTAGGGGTATCTCAATTTATACCTCCTTTAGCAGATCCCCATGAAGAATGCATTTTTCACATACAGTTGGTGTAACATTCATCCACCATTCACAACCAAATTGACAAGTGTCTTGATTGTACTTATCTTTGCCACTGATGCAAATTTCTCATCATAGCCAACTATATTCTTTGGCCACAAACCGTGCTTTGTAGCGATCAATCTTTTATTCTGAGTTATGTTTCACTGTGAAGTGCCATTTGCACCCGCTGCCTTTTTTCCCGTTGGTAGCAATGTGAGCTCCCACTTCTTGTTCTTATCAAGAGCATCAAATTCCTCCAATACAATAACTTTTTACTTTGGATCCTCCTTAGCTATCTGCCAACACTTGGATATAGAGACTGTCCAAAGATGCAATGAATGTCCCATATATAGGTGATTTGTTATAGTATGAGACAAACTTAGCAATGTCATGTGAGAAACTGAAACAATCATGTATGAGACAAACTGAGCAATGTCATGTGAGAAACTGAAACAATCATGGGAATGACCTGCATTTCTGCGAGAGGTCATCCTTAAAGTCATGAGAGTGGGAGAAAAAGGGAGAGGAATCATATCCACCCGTGTAATCGGATTATGAGGTGGATGATATAGGTGTCTTAAGAGTTGGGTTAGACCAAGATACGGGGCTTGTTGGCGTGAGTGGCACGGGAGTCACTGTTCCCTTATTTTGTTTTTTCATTATATACACCCTTAGGTCCCTTTGAGCTTGAATTTCATCCTTTCAGGCTCATTTTCCTCAGGGATCGACTCTTCCTCTTTTGATCCTTCCTCCTTCCCACATAATGGGACAAGCCTTCCCACATAATGGGACAAGACATCGTTCCCACATCTACCAATCTCTCACCATCACTACTCTCCCCTCTCGACTAATAACTCTATTATCTGACTAGTAACCAAAGGTTGAGGTCGCCTTCAAGGAATAGTATGGTTTGAATTTTCTAAAATTGATATCTATACTCACAAATTCTTTTCTCTATTGGGCTCAAACAAAAAATAAAACTTCTAAGTAGCAGAATAACCCACAAAAACGTACTTCACAGCTCTTAGATCCAGTTCCTTATTGATGGTTTATTGTCCTTCACGAAACATACACAACCAAATACCTCAATGAGAGGATCTCGCCATTATCTCATTTCAACAACTCACAAGAAAATTGCCACTTCGACACTCTTGAAAGTATTCTATTGATCAATTGAGCGGCTGTCAAAACTGCTTGCCCCCACAAGTGCTTTGGGATATTCATCGAGATCATCATGCTTCGAATTATCTCTAGAAGGTGTCTGTTCTTTCGTTTTGTTACTCTGTTTTGTCTCGATGTCTATGAACATGTGATTTGATGCTGTATCCCCTGGGCTAACATATTCTCCCCAAATGCCTTATTAGTATACTCTGTCCCATATCAGACCTTAATACCTTCACCACTGCACCGTATCGAATCTTAATTCCCTTGTGAAAGTTTTTAAAACAAATAATCACTTTTGTTTCTTATCAGATATAACCAATTAACACGAGAAAAACAACCAATAAAAGTCACAAAATGTTTATAGTCATTCATCGAAATTGTAGAATAAGGTCCCCATACATCTGAATGCACTATATCAAAAGCACAAGAACTCCTTTTACTAGAATTGACATAAGAGTTTCTGGTATGCTTACCAAACTCACATGCATCAAACACAAGTTTTTGTTTATTTGACTTTTCATGCAAAAACAATCACGAATGACTCAAAAGACTAAACAAAGGGCGTCTCATGTTCCTGTGATGTAGCAGCAACACATCCTCTGCATTTCTCCTAGATCCTCCTACTCCAATACTCTTTATACCATGGATGCCAGTGCCAAGTCCATCCCCCCTCTACCCAAAACCAGAGTCCACTATGCCACATGCCAGTCCCAATCTCCGGCCAGTTCACTTCTCTTGAAAGATCACTTCAGGATTATCAAAGGAAACAACACGTTTAATTGAAGAGTAATGACATGGATAAAATGTTCACTAAAAAGAAAGAAGCATGCAAAATATTGAACAAATTTATAGAATTGGTACATCTCACTGTACTCTTACCAACCACAAACTGTATTGTACAATTAGTGTTTTGAATGCTCTCTGAAACTATTAGATGAGTATAGGAAGCGAACTCACTAACGTTACCTGTCACATGTCGAGATGCACCAGAATCTACTATCCATTCTAATTGTCTTATGGAGGATATGGAGGCAAGAGCATTTGTATGATGAGTACCTTTGCCTTAGTGTAAGTAGCAATGTTCCCTTTTGATGTCGATAAGGTGGATGCATCCTTAGTCACATTACTTGTTGCTCTCTGTTTTCTCTTCAACATCTCTAGAAGCTCGTGATCATTATCGGTAAAGATCACCCCTTTCTCTCCCTCATTCTCTGTTGTCATCAGATTTGATCTGTAGCCCCCTCTTTCACCCTTTTAACTCCCACGATTACGACCACGGTCTCTAAACTATCCACGTCCACTCGTATCTCTCTTCTTGGGTGGCTTTGAACAAGCCTTGCTCAGGTGTCCTACTTCTCCATACTTGTAGCATCTGTCGATCTAATGCTCAGGTGTCCTACTTCTCCATCAAGATGTTAGCTCCCTGTATGAGCCCGACCAAGATTTTTAGAACTTCAGGAACCTTCTTCCCCAAAAGTTTCAATCCCTTACCTTTTGCACTATCTCCGTCTCCAGACATTTTTAATCACAAGTACCAAGTCTAGATCACACAGGTCACATAGATCACACATGACTTTCTTCCTGCAAGTTCATGCGATCCACTTTGCCTTAGCTCGCACGAAGCCGCTCCCCCTCTGTCCCGCACTCAAAACAACAACCACTTCGATCCTTCGCCTCCTTGTTGTCGAGTCCAACTCCAGAATCAAGGCCCTATTCCTCTGCCTTCCTCATTTCCGAGTCTCAAGCAAAACCACACTGACTGCTGCCTATCGCTCCCCCTCTGTCCCGCACTCAAAACAACAACCATTTCGATCCTTCGCCTCTTTGTTGTCGAGTCCAACTCCAGAATCAAGGCCCTGTTCCTCTGCCTTCCTCATTCCTGAGTTTCAAGCAAAACCACACTGACTGCTGCCTATGAAGACCACCTAAGCTGCTCCCGCCTCCCTGTTTGAAGCCAAAGCCTCCTCTGTTAGCTATGATCGCGACTGTTTTGCCAAGATGATGCCGGTGTTAGAGATCGCGGCTGCTTCACTAAGACGACGCTGCTCCGATCGTACTCTTCGCGGCTGCTTTGCGAACCTAGATCGTTCATCGCTGCTGCTTCGTGATTTCGAGGACAACTAGTCGAGGCTAGCGAGGACAACACAAAGCGAGGACAACACAAAGTTCTTTGTATCTAGCGGCAGGCGTGTGGGAGGCAGTAGGTTAAGAGCTTTGATACCAAATTGAAATATTTTTGCTCAAAGAAATCTCTACTATTCATGAAAAGCTTTAGCTTATATATAGCCTTACAACTTTCTATACAAATAAAATCCTTGACATCTATATTTTGTATTTACAAATAAGACTCTAAACTATATACAATTTTTAACATCTCTCACCCAGTATATCTGTAGGACTTCCATCATGAAGTTTAAGCAAGATAATCTCCTGTAGCGAACATCAAGGGTGTACAACCTATTTCTAAAAAAAATATGCTTATCTTGAAGTTAAAAATGCTATAAGATATCTTTCTAGCATCACTAACATTTCTTGCCAAATTCTCTTCCTTTCGCATATGGTTCTCGTATCATCACATCATCACAGACACTTTTGGTTGGAGCGCGCTTCACAAGTTATTTTTTAGCACGATTCAATTCGAAAATTTGGAATATCATGATGGGAATAGACGATTCAATTTACGTCACAAGTATTTCTAAAATCTGTCGAATAATTTGAAACATATAGTCCTCCCATCTTAAAAGGGCCAACTAAATCATAAGATTTATTTATAAGAAATTCGTAAGATACATTGCATTTCTTATAAAATCATAAATTTGCAAAATACAAATTGATGCATGTATTTATTGAAATATTTATCTCCTATTGTTTTTCTTCTGCTTAAATTTACACTCTTCTTTCATCAATTTAATTATGATGAATTTCCTGAAAGTGATTGTCAATTATAAGGGTTAAATAAATAGCAAACTCAATGGATAATTACTTTTCTAAGTTATAGTAGTTCAGAATTTTAAAGATAATATGCATGCACGTTGTATTTAATCCATAAAACATTGGTTTTATCACGACCAATAAATGTATTTTTAACTTAATGGTGGAACAAAAATTTAGCTGTCTTTATTTTTAAATTTAATGACTTATATTGTTATACACCCATAACATGAGCACAATCTATCAGTTGTATCATTAAAGCTGCATTTATCTTAATATTTTTTTCCGAACCTGTCCCAGTATTGAAACGAGGGTAGTTAATTTTAGGCCAGAGTACAAGACAGTGTAAATTTTGCATCTGTTTTACGTTAAGATAATGCAGAAATAATTTTTTCCGTGCCTATCCCAGCATCTAATGCATACTACACTGTTTATGTTCTCTGTGTTCGATAGCTTGCTTCTTTACCAGGCTTTCATGTTAATGTTCTCTGATGATAACATGAGGGCAAAATTTTTTGTAGGCGCATGTGTTGCGTTTGATTTGTAGTATGCTTATAGGTATCTAATAGTAATTAAATCATGTAGGACACTGTCGTGCGATGGTCTGCTGCCAAAGGTATTGGCCGAATTACTGCATGCTTAACATCTACACTCGCAGAGGAAGTGTTGTCTTCCATATTAGAGCTATTTTCCCCTGGTGAGGTATGGCAGGACCAGTCACATCCTAATATTATAAAGTGTATAATCATGGCTTTTGGTTCATATAATTTGTGCATGGAAAGCCAATGTAAAGATGGGCGGAAGTTGCTCTTCTAATTTTTTTTTGTCATCTTCTCTTCTAATTTTATTTTATTATCACTCAATTTAATGATCCATTTGCCTATTAATTTGACTTTTGAAGGGAGATGGATCATGGCATGGAGGTTGCTTGGCTTTAGCGGAATTTGGTCGAAGAGGTTTATTGCTGCCGGTTAGCTTTCCTAAAGTAGTTCCTTTAATAATAAAGGTGAGTTCTTTTATTAGTGAACATGCATGTAATCTTCATTCCTCATGAAGCGGTTCAACTTTTATGGGCTGAGCCTTTTAGCATTACTGTAGTTATCTATTTGATATTTCCATGTGCGAACTTTAAATTGTTTCAAGATGTGATTTTCTAGAATGTTAGAGGATTAAGAAATTGGCACCGAACTAGTTTTTTGTTTGATGCATTATTGGGGTGCCCGGTATTATCTAAACTTCAACTTATGTTTCACCTATGGGAGCTGGAGTTATACTTTTTTTTTGAGAGAGAAAGGAGATCTAACACTTGGATTAATATTTTATTTAAATAGAAATATGTTAAACTATATTATAACTACTATTTTGTTTAATCACCAAGCCAAAGCCTTGTGCCGTGTTGCGTCCATATTCATGCCAGCGTTTTATATTTTAGAGGCGAGTCAAATCATATCTGAAACGGATGAGTGTTTCTTGCTCATGGAGGGACGATTCTCGTCCATGGAGGGGAGATTCAAGGCCCTAGAAGAAATGATGAAGTAGATCATAGAGTTTCACGCAAACCTGTCATCGCCTGCCTTAGGAGGCGAGCAACAACATTAGGAAGGAATAGTGCTACGTACGAACGACTGGATCAAGCGACAATAGACAACATGGTATGAAGTGTGATTCAGGGTTGGATAAGATTGATTCGAAGGATTTCTGCTTAAAATTGGGAACCACGATGGGTAGTACCCCCACAAAGGGTTGCATCTAACTGCGCTAGTGCCTTTTGATGTGCAAGCCTTATGGAGACGTGACGTAAAGCTCTGAATGGGGGCCGACTGAACCAACTCCAGGGAAGTTTAGTCCAATTTTGCTGGACTGGTCGACCCTTTACCTATTCTACTCCATGCCTTTTCTATTTCTTCTTTTACAGTTTCTTTCTTATTCTAATCATTACCTAATCTAGTTACTAATACATGTTATATATAGTTGTGGTGTTGCCTAGGTTATGTAGCTTTTTTATTGATTTTGGGAGTTTTCCCTTTCGAGGACTGTATCCGACGACGAGAAGGGTCTCCGGCTATAACTCGTTCGAGGTGGTGACTATCTCCATCGTTCCCCCCACTTTCGCGCTGTCACCAACTCCTCTCTGCCTTTCAAGGCACGCCACCGACCTCATCCACATCTTCCAGCAGCTGTCAGCCTTACTGCTCCCTCCCACCAGATCCCTTCCAGCCGTTTTCCGTCCTCTCCAACACCTCCTAGTGGCTCATCCAGCTCCTCCCAGCAGTCGTGACTCACTTCTGATTCTTCTTAGCAGGCCACCAACCCTGATTTCTCTGGATCCCTTCCAGCAACACGCATGACTTGCCAATCACTTTCCAGCCCACAACTCACCTACAGTACCCTTTGTTTGGAAGACAAGGCTCTTGTGTGGTATCAATTGAGAAAACAATTTCAACCAATCAGAACATGGAAAAAATTCAAAGATCGAATGTTGGAGATTTTCAGAACCACACAAGAAGTGAATTTTACACGAGCAGTTATTGCTTTGGTTCAAAAAGGGTCTATCATGAATTATAATGAGAAATTTGATATGTTATCAGAGTGTTTGAGTGGGATATCAGAAGTAGTGTTGGAAAGAAACATCATGAATGAGGTGAAGTCAGAGATTTGAGTAGCGTTTTGTCTGTTGAGATTGCGATGATTGGGGAAAACTATGGAATTAACACAATTGATTGAAGATAAAAATGCCATAGAACAGTCTAATAGT